GGAAGGGGAGGAGAGGAGGAGGAAATGAAAGCTGTGGAAGAGAGAGGGGGAAGGGGAGAGAGAAGTGGAGGGGAAGCGAGGGGAGGAAAGGGAGATAGGGAAAGAGTAGAAGGATGAGGAAAAAGCTGATGAAGGAGGAGGGAAAAAAAGGAGGGAAGTGGAGAAGTGAAGAGGCGGGAGGGGAAGGAAAGGGGGGAGAAGAGGGGAAGATGAGAGGGAAGGAGGGAATAAGGAAGGAGTGGAGTGCTGTAGAAGGCGGGTGGAGAAAAGGGGGGAAGTGAGGAAGTGAAGAGATGGAAGGGAGAGAGAGAGAGAGAGAAAGAGGGAGAAAGAGAGAGACAGAGAGAGATAGAGATAGATAGACAGATAGATAGATAGAGAGAGAGAGAGAGAGGGAGAGAGAGGGAGAGGGAGAGGGAGAGAGAGAGAGAGAGAGAGAGAGAGAGAGAGAGAGAGAGAGAGAGAGAGAGAGAGAGAGAGAGAGAGAGAGAGAGAGAGTGAGAGACAGAGAGAGAAAGAGAAGAAGAAGAAAGAAGAGGACATGGGAAGTACAAAAGATATGAGGGCATAAAGTAAATATGCAAACAACGCATAGAAAGAAAAAGAATCAATTTACTCTCTTAACATTTCCCTAATAAACATATCACACACAAAAAAAATTAAAGAGCAAAATATGATTTTTTTCTTTAAGTAAACATTGCAAGCAGAAGAAACTTTCCCTGGATAACTATTTGCACCGTCATCGAAATCTCCGAGACGCTGCCTGGATTTTCTGTCCGGATCTCGTTTCTCTCGACAATATATGCATGAGCGTATGTGTATATGCGTATAGGCGCACGCACACACACACATACACACACACACACACATACACACACACACACATACACACACACGCACGCATACGCATAGATACACACACACATACGCACATGCACTCACAAACGCACACACACGCATACAATCACGGACGCACGCACATACATAAATACACACAAATAAATAACACATACAGATACACACATAAGCACATATACACAGTGTCTGTGTGTTTAAGAGAGAGAGAGAGAGAGAGAGAGAGAGAGAGAGAGAGAGAGAGAGAGAGAGAGAGAGAGAATGTGAGGAAGGATGAGAGAGAGAGAGAGAGAGAGAGAGAGAGAGAGAGAGAGAGAGAGAGAGAGAGAGAGAGAGAATGTGAGGAAGGATGAGAGAGAGAGAGAGAGAGAGAATGTGAGGAAGGATGAGAGAGAGAGAGACAGAGAGAGAGAGAGAGAGAATGTGAGGAAGGATGAGAGAGAGAGAGAGAGAGAGACAGAGAGAGAGAGAGAGAGAGAGAGAGAGTACGTGAGGGAGGATGAGAGAGAGAGAGAGAGAGAGAGAGGAGAGAGAGAGAGAGATGAGAGAGAGAGAGAGAGAGAGAGAGAGAGAGAGTACGTGAGGGAGGATGAGAGAGAGAGAGAGAGAGAGAGAGAGAGAGAGAGAGAGAGAGAGAGAGAGAGAGAGAGAGAGAGTATGTGAGGGAGGATGAGAGAGAGAGAAAAAAAATGTGATGAGGATGAGAGAGAGAGAGAGAGAGAGAGAGAGAGAGAGAGAGAGAGAGAGAGAGAGAGAGAGAGAAGAGAGAGAGAGGAGAGAGAGAGAGAGAGAGAGAGAGAGAGAGAGAGAGAGAGAGAGAGCAGTATCAAAGGTTCTGTGTCTGTGTGCTCGCATGTGTGGATGAGTGCTTGTGGTCATGTGTAGATTTGCTCATGTATTTTCTTCCATTGCAACAATATTCATTACGTAATAGGAGCATGAATACTACACCTTGCTCATGATACCAGTTTGCTCAATATTATATCAATTTTTTCCATTTTGTAAGAAAATGAGACCTTGCATCTAATCAGTGTACGGAGGAGGAAGAGAGGAGGGGAGGTGGAGGCAGAGGAGGAGGAGAGGAAAGGAGGAGGTGGAGGAGGAGGAGGAGGAGAGGAAAGGAGATAGAGGAGGAGAAGGGGGGGAGGCAGAGGAGGAGGAGAGGAGGGGAGGAGGGAAGGTGAAGCAGGAGGAGGAGAGGAGGGTAGGTGGAGATAGAGGAGGAGGAGGAGGGGAGGCAGAGGAGGAGGAGGAGGAGGAGGAGGGAGGAGGAGGAGGAGGAGGAGGAGGTGGAGGTGGAGATAGAGGAGGAGGTGGAGGTGGAGATAGAGGAGGAGGAGGAGGAGGAGGAGGAGGAGGAGGAGGAGGAGGAGGAGGAGGAGGAGGTGGAGGTGGAGGTGGGAGGAAAGGAGAGGGAGGTGGAGGAGAAGAGGCGGGGAACCCTACCTAACACAGGCTGCCCCATTTCACCCCCCCCCCCATCCCTTTTCTCCTCCCCTTCACTAATCGCCCCCTCCCCCCTCATTTCCGTAAATGTCTGTAGCGTCCGTGAACTCTGGAGATCAAGTCCTTAGATTCAGTTATTAACACACAAATGCACTGTTAACGCACGGCATAATTAACATTTGCATTAGAGTCGGTTAATTAACACAGAAGGATACAGTAAACATTTCACAAACATTAATAAAGAAAAAAAAAAATAAAACTGGACATTAGATTCAGTTTATCAAGAGAAAAAATACAGTTAACACACATAATGATAAATAAATAAATCTTAAAAGAAAGAGGAAAAATATAGTAATGTGTACAGACGTATAATTTACTTAAGTAAACCGTAGACCACAGAAAGGAAGTCATACATACAGTCGGTGCAGACTTTGTTACATTTGTGTGTATAAGCTGCCAATTCTCTTCATATACATTATTCTTTTATTGTTGAAGACATTTATATTTGTGGTTAAATCTATTATACCAAATACAGTGACGCTAATATTAATCAGCCTGATATTTTATTAGTCCGGAGTAGTGATGGATATTTTTATTAACCGTTTGATTCAAAGACAGGTTGGTGGCTTATGTTGTTTAGTCCCGCAAGAGAGGTCAGTTGCCTTGTAATATACAATGGCATTTGTTCTACAAAGATTTAGAGGGATGAATGTTACTGATCTATTATTAATATTCATTTTTACTAACATCATGTGTCTTGGATTCTATTAATCTTACTGTTTTGTCGGTAGGTGCGATACCATGTGTGCACGCATTTTTGATTCCTTGGTAAAGGGAAAGTGGAAACTGGATTTCATTGAAGACCGAGCTCCTGTGACGGGCCAGCCAGCCTGGTCACAAATATATTCAATGCACATCGCTTAATAGTGTACTTTAGTTTGCTAGCCTCACCCTCTCGGAGAAGTTGAACAGAACTGACAATGAATTCTTGTAATTCGCACATCAGAACTACACCTGTTCATTTACTTGGCCCACACGGCCAGGGAAATATGTGACCCTAATTTCAGAGCAGAATTTCGTATAGCATGGCGATTTAGGGAAGAGTGCAAACGAAAACAGCAAGCAATACACACACAAGTCCCACCATGATCCGAACCTGCTTCGAAGCGCTTCATGAATGCAGTGCGAATACCATTGTTGATAGAAGGCAGTGATCGTAAGGCGGTAGACAATTTTCATCCCCTACCATCGTTGTATTCAACTAAATCATACATTATCCGAGAGGCCCTACTAGGCACCCATAACGTCATACATCAAGTAGAGGGCGATCGTAGTGGACAATGTTAATGTAATTGGGGCTGGTTATGGGACGGGAGATTTGAATTGAGATTTTTACATGGGCAATTCTTCTGAAACTTTCTTTAATAACGCATGACGCAGAATGGTGTACAGTTTCTATTTTCGATCGTAACAGCGTGAGGTATCCTGCGCTTCAAATTAATATTACTCGGTTCCAAATCTTAAGTCCCAAAGTGCGCGGAAAAGAGTTGGAAACAATTCAGCCGCCTAGCTGGGAGAAGTTGGAGGGAGGGGGGGGAGATGTAAGGCACTATATATATATAAGTATAGGCCTATATTAGACACGTAAACTGATTCCATGTATACCTTATAAATTTAATTGTCATACAGGTATGAGGAACAGCGTTCACCAGTATAAGCAGCATTTACTTGTACGTGTTTAAGATGGTAGTCTGATTGGATGATAGATAACATCCCGGCTAACTTGATCAGCAGTAAAGTAAGTACAAGTACCCTGTATCAATTTTCAAACAGTATTTTGTACCAATACAAGAAGGTCAAAGTAGATAAAGAAAAAGAACGATACCAGCCAGCAGCACAGGCTAAATTTAGGTCAGCAGTAACGTTCAGTTTTCAGTTCGCCAGGATCGTGGCTATACCCCTACAGCTTCAGAACAAGGCAGACACCTCCGGCGTTACATTCATCACAGAACAGTCTTATGCAGGTTTGTTTCATGCAGGTTGGATGGATCAGCCTCCCCATTGAGTGCATGCCGACCTGCAAAATCCCAGTGTTTTCCACGGAAGACGGCAACGGCAGTAAATTTTATAACATGCATGATGGGCGGTGGTCAGGAGGGCCTTCGGATTCTCGAGATCGAGGAAGAAAAGTGTCCATTTTTCCCTATCTGTGGGCAGGTGAACTGATGGTTCCATATCTTCATTAATTCCGTATTGGAGCAGTGTAGGGTTCTTTACAAAGTGCACGCTTCATTGGCAATAACGAAAAGACAATAGCTCGACTTGTCTGTCTGCTGCTGTACATTCGCGGTAGAAACATAAGAGTTCAAAGTTGTATTTGTCCTTCCAATCTGAAACGTTTTCCTGTTCAGCAAACACAGGAAATTGGGCCATTCCACCCGATATTGCTGACAGTTACACCCTTGTGGCTGAAAACTACGTTTATTTGGGTCAGGCTGATTTTTCTCCATGTGACCTACTACCGTCGAAGGTTTAGGTTCGTTGAGAAGATCAGTCCCATTTTCCTTGGCAATGGACAAGTCAAAGTTTGCCAGATGTTCCACAACTGTCTCTTCTGCTCTTTCACAGCAGAACAATTAAAATGATTACAAAAAGCTTGCTAGCGTAATTTCCACCACAATTTGTTACAGTGAGACAAGCTAGAGTGTGATGCTGGCCATATCTTAGGAAGAACTTAAAAAATGTGGTCAGTGTCTGACATCTGGATGGCGTCCAGCCCTGGTCAACATCTGCCCCTTTGGTTTGTTTGTTTCTTTGTGTTGCCTTTGTCACCACCTTTTGCAACCTAGAAAGAAACCTGCTTGCTCACCTGCTGGTGTCCCTGGTAAAACCATTAATCTGAAACATTTTAAGTGAATATTGAAATATTGTTCTGAAGGTAGGTACAGAACACCCTGCTGATTAACCTAGATTATTTTACCAATACCTGCAATTTAATACGACTTATGATATAAACCGGCTGCTTCGGAGCTCATAATTTATCCGAACTGCATGAGATTTTAAACCCATTGAGGAGAACTATATTTTTTTTTCAAATGTATATCTCTGAGGCAATGTAACCTGTTATGACTTGTGTGAGCTTTCATTTTTTGAAAGCTCTATACATAGATTCGATCTCAGAACGTTTTCTTTTCCATCTTCGAACCAGCATCAGTGAGAAACCATGGGATAAGCTCAGATCTACTCTACTAGGTTATTAAAATATCCAGATAGTAACAAATAAGTGCGTAACAAAGTACCCCTTCCCTCTTCCTTAGTATCCCCAAGCTCTCCCCTCCCCTTCCCCCTCTTCCCCTCCCCTTCCCACCCTCTTCCCCTCCCTCTCCCCTTTTTCCCCTCCCCTCACATTCAACCCTGTTCCCCCTCCCCCCCTCCCACCCCCCGCTTGCGTCCTGCCCTCTCACCCAGAGTAGCTTTCCCACCAATTTGCATTTACTGTCTTCAGGTAAAATTATACGGCGTGCTTGCAACAGAGGTTTGCTTTTGCTTGTGTGGCTTGCACTTGTAAGTTTTTGTTTATTTTACAGTTGCATGGTGACTTTCTATCTAGGAATTAACGAAAGAATTCTGTTTATTTATTATTTTTTTTATTATTTATTATTTTTTTTTGTCTTTGCTTATGTACTTTGGGTTTGCTTTTAGCTTTTATTGTGGCTTAATGATTTGCATATTTGGTATGTCTTTGTCTTGTATCATTTACCTGTGCCTGCCATTAAATTTTTATTTTTAATTTCTTTGTGCCTATGAGTGGCTTCTCTTTCTTTTGTTTCTGTTTCATTTGTCTTTTCATTTTCTGTTCTTGCGTTTGATTTATCTGTATCTTTATTTGTATTTGTGATTGCGATAAGTACATATATCTATTTATTATGAAGTAAGTACCTTAATATCTTGCGTGCATTTGCGTAGTCTTTAGTATTTAAGTGCTTGCGTATTTCTTGCTTGTATGACAAGTAAATAAATAGTTCGCATCCTATATCACGGCCTGTTTTTGGATAATTGTGCTTGATTTTCATCTATCGTCGTTTCGGCGCGTTATCTTGCCATTTACATTTATAATGATAATATTTCATGTGTGCTTGTGTTTGTGTGCGCACAAACACCACACACACACATAACCACACACACCCACACGCACAGCGCCACACACACACGCACACACCCACTACGGACACACACACACACACACCACACACACACTATATATATATATATATTATACATACACACAATATAGATATATATATATGTGTGGGTGTGCGCACACACACACACACGCGCACACACACACATATATATATATATATATATATATATATATATATATATGTGTGTGTGTGGTGTGTGTGTGTGTGTGTGCGTTGGCGTGTGTGAATGTACATATGCGTATGTGAGCTGTGTGATATATATATAGATATGATATATACTATATATATATATATATACTATAATATAGGATATCTATATACTATATAGATATATATCGATAGTATATATTATATATATATTATATATAATATATATATATATATATATATATATATAAGAGGGAAGTAAACAAACAGACGATTAAAACATACCAAATAGGGACAAGCGTCCACACCAACAGGAAAACAAACAAACAGGCAAACCGACAGAGGGTAAATAACGTGAGCAGGAAAAACAGACAAGCACGCAAAAAACGCACACACACACACAGACGTACATCCAGACACACACACACAGACTCCGAGGACAAAAATACAAGACCGAATGAGAAAAGAAGAAGAAGGAAAAAAAAATAGACAAACAAACAAGCACGCAAAAACACACACATACAACAGAGACTCGAGACAAAAAAATACGAAAGCGAATAGGAGAAGAAGAAGATGAAAAAAAAAGTTAGACACAACCAAGCACCGCAACCACCCACCAGACCTCCGAGGACCAAAAAACATACGAAAGCGAATTGAGAGAAGAGAAGGAAAAAGAAAAGTTAGAAAAAACAAACAGCACGCAAACACACACACAGATCCGAGAACAAAAAAATACGGAAAGCGAAGAGAGAAGAAGAAGAAGAAAAAAAAGAAAGTAAGGCAAACAAACAAGCACGAAACACCACAAACCAAAAAGAACACACAACACACACACACGGCCTTACAAACACACGCCGCAGCCACAATGACAGAAGCAAATAAGCGTGCAGGAGATCCGACGCCGGGAGGTAATAAAGCACCTGCTTCTCAGTTACTCGTTCTGACACGCCCCCACCGCCCCCACCGCCCATCGCTCGAGGCGGACTCTGGCTTTGGCTAGGCCTATTCAGGCCGTGCTTGCATGCACTTCGCTCTAAATTGAAGAAAAGAAAACGAAAATAGATCTCAAAGCGAACATACACACGCACGAGGCAAGCACCACTCACACACACACACACCAACATACACACACCCCCACACACCCCACACAAACACACACACCCCACACACACACATATATATATACATATTATATATAATATATATATAGATATATAGAATTATGAAAGCAAAGAGTACATGCACAGGCGTATATGTATGCGCACACGGAAATCCATGCGCGCGCGCGCACACACACACAATAATACATACGAAATGAAGTTAATAGTAGGTAGTAAGACTGCTACTTACGATCATAATATAGGATAGTAATGATATAATACTGAAATCTGATACTTTTGATTATAATAATAATCATAAGAAGAATGAGACTAGTAAATGAGCAATAATAATAATAATAATAATGATAAGAACAAAATAGTAAGAAAAATAAGGATATCCTTGTATAATAATAATAAATTACAATGGCTAATGAGATGATAGTAATATACAATAAAGAAAAAATATAAGGAGAATAAACAATAAATGAAATGAACATCACCATAAAAAAATAGAAACATAACATAATAAAATAAAGCATTGGAGTAATGACATTTAATGCTAATGATAATAATCTGATATAAATTATTTAACCATAAACCACAATAATAGTAAAAATAGTATGACAATATGAATTATCATAATCAAAATAATAATACCATAATGCCAATTGAATATAATAATGGTAATGATAACTGTAATGATGATATTTGCCATGATAACTGAAAAATGATATCATAATGATCACATATACAACAACAATATTAATGATAATAATAGCCGATAATTATCATTATGAAAATAGATCTGCTGCTGCTGCTGATGATGAATGGATGATGCGTATAACAATAGCCAAATTATCAGTGATGGCATAACAAGGGATAACATATGAGACTCAGTATACTAAATCTATAACAGGCAACTATAATATATAGTATGATAATGATATAATAATACTGATAATAGTAATTAGAATTAATATATTCATATCTCTATAGATATAATATATAGATAGATATCTATATATTATTATATATATATATATATATATATATATATATAGTGCGCTGACCCTGGACTATCGCGGCAATATATATATATAATATATATCTATATATATATATATATATAATATAGATATATATATATATATATATACTATGATATACATATTATATATATATAATATACCTTATATATATATATATATATATTTATATTATTATATATATATACATATATATATATATATAAATATATTATATATAGTATATATATGATATATATATATATTTTATTATATTAGAGCTCTAGATATATATATATATCTTATATTATATATATATTCTATTATACATATATCTATGTATATATCTATATTAAATATTATATATAGATTATATATAATAAATATATATCGATATATGTAATATATTAATATATAGTATTATATATCTATACTTGTATATATATATATATATATATATATATATATATATATCATATATATATATATATATTATATATATTGCCGCGATAGTCCAGGGGTCAGCGCACCGAACTCCGACCCTCGTGGTCCCGAGGTCTATATG